GTTTCTAGCTCGATCGAGCTATCGGTCGAGCTGGCTCCTTTGGTACCTAAGCTTAACTTATTGAAAGGTTAAAGACATAAAAACAGATTGAAATTTCATAAATAGAATATGTACAAGGATAGACATGGACTCCCTCCCAAGTGAGCTTGTTTAAGGTCCCATAGCTTGACCTTTACCTTCTTAGGCATTGGTTGAGCTAGTCCCACCATCAAGGGTGATAGTGAGGACTTGAGACAGAAGCTCTTTTAGCTTGGATGGGTCCCTGGATTGTTCTGAAGTCACCAAGGCTTTGGCTCTAGAGAATGGCCTTGATCTCCCCTTGTACCTTATCTTGTACTCAATCTTCCCATTTTCAAACTTGATGGGGAACAAAATCATTGTGAGCTGAGATGGCTTGGATGAAGGGGCCTGAGCTGGTGGATCTTTTCTTTTATCCCCTAGTCTTGCCTTAGAGGCTACATCCTCCCCTTCTTTTAGAGCCCTTCCTAGTGGCTCATCAAACAAAGCTTGAAGGCTTTCTCCATCAAGCACACAAGAGGCTTGAACAAGGCGATCAGCTCGTGGTCTATCAGAACGTGGTTTCTCAATTCTAGCCCTCTCAAGACTTGGCTTCTCAATCCTTGGCTCTCTCTCTCAAAATATTTATATTTATATATATTAATTTTTTTTTTTTTTTTTTTTTGAAATTAAACAACTTTTATTGAAATAAGCAAGTGCAAATACAAAGCAAATAATCCAGGATCTAAGATTCAAGAAGCAAGAGCTTCAAGAACACAAAGATGGATTAGGGTTGCTAAAAAGTAAAGACAATAAATTAAAGAGAAACTAAAACAAAAATAAAGTAAAGCTTGGTTGTTTTTTCGTGGCTTTTAGCCTTAAATACAAGAGGATTAGGTTTAGGGTCAAAGGAAAGTCAAGGGGGAAGCAACATTTTTCGGGTTTGACTGTTGACTTCTCAGCTCGATCGAGTTGAAGACGGGTCGAGCTGGTCTTCAAGATGGCTTCTCCCTTCTTCCTTTGCGTATCCAGTTGAGCTGCGTCCATGTGCCAAGTCCCTCCATGCTCCTCATGTCCCATATGCTCCAGAATGCTCCAAAAGACCTATTTCAAAGGACCAAACATGCATATGTATGCAAATGCAACCTAAAACTAACATGAATGCATAAGAAGAGAAAAGGAACAAGATATGATGCAAATGGAAGCTAAAACTATGCAAAAGATGCATAAAAGATGTGCTAAAACTATGTAAAATGCAAGTACATCAACACCCCCAAACTTGAACTTTGCTTGCCCTCAAGCAAACAAATAGAACAAGAAAGAGATGAGGTTTGAAAACAGCTGATTCAACACTTAAAAACATGTCCTCAAAAGCGATTTGCTAAATGTCCAACTTAGAGATTCTAGAATGCAACAAGGTGAGAGATATTCATTAAGATTTAACCATGCTTATCAACATCAATCCCACTTCACAGTCACTCAAACAATGCATTCAAATCAGCAAATCCCTTTAACATTCATTAAGCAAAAACAGTGAACCAAAAACATGCAAGATCAATCAACTCATTTGGTTTCAAGGGTTTATGGGTTAAGAGACAAAGAGGGTCTCTTTTGTATGGTGGTTTAGTAACAGGGATCTCTCAAGAAAGTGGCTTTGCTTTGGCAGAAGGCTAAGTGTTAGAACCAAAGATGATGCAAGAACAGCAGCTCGAGCCGTCTAATCCTAACTCGATCGAGTTCAACACTTAGAGCTTTTTAGAACAAAATCCTAACTACCCTTTTTGGCATTTCGCCTTTGAAACTGAGGAGCTTTGCTCACTTTTCTTTTAAGAACTTCCTAGGGAGAGGCTTCTTGAGGTAACATCTAGCGGTTTGGGATTTTCTAAACACTTAGGGAACTTTTCTTTCCTTTTTGGACACTTGAGGCTTTGCCTTCTTTTCATTCTACTTAGAACCCTTTTTACTTCCTTTTTTAACTTCCCAAACCTTTACTAGACCCTTTTTAACACTGCCAACTCCCTGGACTTAACTAAACTCTTTTTCCTTTGGGTTTTTCCCAATTTTTACCACTTTTCTGGTTTTTACACCCAACTCGATCGAGCTCGAGTTGGCACCCCCAAACTTAGCCTGAAAACAATCCCAAGAGAACTAGACAACTAGAACTACTGCCCCTGCCGGTTTAAACACAACACCTTATGCTAAGCAAAGCCAAGAAAGGTTCTCACATTCGCACAAGAGATAAATGGGGTTTGAAATGAAAAGGCTTAGGTTTAAGGTGTGGTAACTGTCTCAAAGATAGAGATCAGCTATCTGGACAAGCAAGAGGGATATGAAGTGTAAAGAATGTCCAGATATGTATGTGGTAGCCATGAGTTGAAATCAAATGCAAGCATTGGTAATTAAAGATCAAGTTATGGTTCATATAATAGGGAAATGCATCAAATCACAGCAATGGTTGAATGAGATGTGCATGCAGTGATATGATCAAGATAAACATGGTTCTTGCTGCTCAATCAATCTCACCCTAATGCACAAAAGAATCTAAAAACAGGGCACTCAAGAAATCGCAAAAGATGGACAAGTTTTCAAAGTCAAATCAACAATGCAAGTGAAAAATGCAATCCTAAACAAGTCTAACAAATATGAATGCAAAAAGATGAAAATATTTTTGGATTTTTTGAAAATTTTATGATTTTTTTGGTTTTTCTATGCAAAAGATGAATGAAAAACTAAGAACAAAGAAAACAAGGTTAAATCATCTCTTGAACCCTCCCCCAAACTTAAATCACACAGTCCCTTGTGTGAGAAAAATTTAGTGAAAGATTCAAGAGGGCAAAACCAAGAAAAAAAAAACAAATGCAAGAAAATATGAAATGGTATATACAAGGGTTGGTGTTTGGATACCTCAGTGCCCCCCAAAGAACTGGGAGGCTAGGTCGTGGTCTGGAGATGGTAGACGGCCATCAGGGCACTCCACTCACTGTTCTGTGCAGCTCGATCGAGCTTGCTCTTCCTCTTCCTCTTCCTCAAAGTGTGTGGCTTCCTTGGCCTTGGTGGAGCATTGCTAGCTCGTACTGTCCATAGGGGTTCCATCTACTCCGGGGAGGCTCCTGGTAAGGCATGGGATCGTATTCAAATCCCGGATCCTCGAACTGGGCTCCTCAAGGTCAACTCGACCGTCAGCTCGATCGAGTTGAGTTTCCTCTGTTTGGACTCGATCGAGTCCGGTGGTCGAGTTGGAGCGTCTGGCCTTAGAAGTCTTCCTCCTTCTCTGCGTGTTGTCTTCTCCCTCCCTTGGCTCGAAAGAAGAGGCTCTGTGAGGCTCTTGGGCAGGGAGCCTCCTTGGAGTGGTGAGAAGGATCTACTCCTAAGGAATGTGGAACTCATGGGGCCTTCTTCTTCTTGCTTGAAGAACCAGAAACCTTCTTCTCCAAACTTTTGATCTTGCTCACCATCTTGTCCATGGACTTTTGCATCTTTCAATGGCTTTCCCTTGCCATTTGTTGAACTTTTGGAGAAGTCCAATCCTCTTGTGGGCAGCCACAACAGAGGGGTTCATCCTTGGAGCCTCATACTCCTCAAATAATAGCACTCAGGCTCACCCAAATCCGCACTTCCTGGACCTGATCTTCAGCTCGATCCTCAGCTCGATCCTCAGCTCGAGACTCAGCTCGATCGAGCTCAGGCTCCTCTTCTCGCAAATCATCCTCATGCCCAACTAATGTGTACACAGGGGGTCTGAAGTCAATGTTCTCACCCCTTACTACTGTGGTGAGCTCTGGGTTAGGCAGGAGAAACTTGGAGGGTCCAACCAATGGATGTGTGAACTTGAATTGGAACCTCCCATCCAACTCCTTGTGCTCAATGAGAAGGTTGGTCTTGCAAAACTTGATGTCCATCCAACCTGGTTCAGTGGCTCTCTATCAGTTGGGTTCACTCCAGCAGCACACAAGATAGGTGTGATGAGCCCTCCAACACTTAGGCGCCTTCCTCGTTTGATGTCTAGTGTTGTAGGCTGTGATCTTGTAGGTAAGGAGATGGTCAAGGAAAGGCATCAAGTTCCCTGTGTCAGATCTATCTCCCCTTATCCTCTTGCCATCGCTTGTGCGTGAGAGAATGGGCTTGATTCCCATGTCAAGAAACTTGAGTTCCCCCTCGTTGATGGTCCCGGTCGCCTTCCTTGCAAAGAAGGTGTTGGCAAGTGCCTTGTGCACATACCTCAAGACTGGGCTCCTGATCTGAGCTGCCTTGGACCTTGAGGAAGAGTACACTCCATCAGCGATTGTAGCCCAAACCCTTTGGAGTTCCTTTTCCTTGAAGTTCCACTTGGTACCCTCTCCATAGTTGAACCCAAACAAGATTTCCAGCTGCCTAAAGGTCACCATTCTCTTCTCTCCCTTAGCCAAGAACGTGATCCATCCCAATCCTTGGTCCAAATCAGCTCTATCTTCCTCTTCATACATGTGGTACCTCATTGAAGCTAAGAACTCGCAAGTGAGCTCCTTGTAGGATTCCATGTGATAAGAGAAAAGCTTGGCCAAGTGCATGTTCTTGAGAATTAGCTCCACATCCTCAAAGATTCCAAGGGCCTTCATTGTGTCAACATGTGGGTACTTGGTGTCCATGAAGTCCATGGAGAAGAGGGCATTGTAATGCTCTTGGTACATAGGGAGTTCTTCTCCTCCTCTTGCGGCTGCTCTTGTGGCTCAACTCCTCCATAGGTTCATCTTGGTTACTTTCTTGCTCACTTCTTCAACCAACTGATTCACCTCTTCTCCTTCCTCTTCACTCTCAGTCTCATCACTTCCTTCTTCACTTGGAGAGCCATTACCCTCCTCTTGAACAAGGTTCACTCCAATCTCAAACTCCCCTTGCTCACTCTCACTACTAATGGGGTCATTCCTCTTCTTGGTCCTCCTCTCCTCCCTCAATCTCTCACTCTCAGATTCTTCCTCAGAGTACACATATCCCTCTGCATCAGACTCTTCCATCTTTGAGTCATCCTCTCCAAATCGGCTTGCATCTTAAGCCTTCTTTCCCTTGCATTGCTTGATTCACCCTCAACCATTCTCCTTTGTGAAGCACGACTTCCCTCACTGTTTGTCATCTCTGTTACACTGTTTCTTCACTAAAGTACCTGAAATGCATCAAAGATTACAAAGAATTAGAGTTGTAATGATCGGTTTGGTCAACTCGACACTCAGCTCGATCGAGTCAAAAAACTCGAGTGACAAACTCGATCGAGCTAGGTGAAAACAGAGTATAACCGAACCTAATTCAAGTATTAAGAGCTGGAAAGGATGCTAATCAATCAAATTGAACCAAGAACAACTAGTAAATGGAACAATGAGCAATTCTAGTGAAGACTAAGCATCTTAACCAATACCAAACTCAAATTCAATTTTTCAAGCACATGCAACAAGTTCTAATGATAAAACAGAGGTGAGGTGAGGCAAATTCACAGTGGTATAAACAGGAGATTGAAATGAGAGCAATTACTCAAGAATAAACCCACAAGGGGCACATGCAATCAAAAATCAAAGAGGAAACAAGCAATAATAGAAATCGAGATGGAGGAATCAAGGGTTTAGGGTTCATACCTTGCTTGAATGATGAATTGAAGAACAGTAACAAGAACCCAAACAAAACAAGATGAAGAACAATGGAGAATCGCAAAAACTTAAGAGAGAGAGATTGAAATTCGATTTTTCTTGTGGTGAAGAGAGAGAGAGAGATGGTTTCAGAAATTTTAAGGTGTGGGAGAGTGGAGAAGTGGGTTCGATCGAGTTATGGGGAAGAGGGAGTGTTTGAGATGTGTGGTTGAGATTAAAAGTGAAATAAAGAGGGGACAAGAAGCTAGGGTTTCTCTGATCAAATTAGGGTAGTGGGGGACCAAAATCAGCTTGTGGGACCCACTCCCTTGACCAAGAAAACGGTTATGAATTTGAAATTCAAAAACTTACCTCGGTCGAGTTGAGGAACTCGATCGAGTTGCCCCTGTTTCTAGCTCGATCGAGCTATCGGTCGAGCTGGCTCCTTTGTCACCTAAACTTAACTTATTGAAAGGTTAAAGACATAAAAACAGATAGAAATTGCATAAATAGAATATGTACAAGGATAAACATGGGACTTCCTCCCAAGTGAGCTTGTTTAAGGTCCCATAGCTTGACCTTTACCTTCTTAGGCATTGGTTGAGCTAGTCCCACCATCAAGGGTGATAGTGAGGACTTGAGACAGAAGCTCCTTTAGCTTGGATGGGTCCCTGGATTGTTCTGAAGTCACCAAGGCTTTGGCTCTAGAGAATGGCCTTGATCTCCCCTTGTACCTTATCTTGTACTCAATCTTCCCATTTTCAAACTTGGTGGGGAACAAAGTCATTGTGAGCTGAGATGGCTTGGATGAAGGGGCCTGAGCTGGTGGATCTTTTCTTTTATCCCCTGGTCTTGCCTTAGAGGCTACATCCTCCCCTTCTTTTAGAGCCCTTCCTAGTGGCTCATCAAACAAAGCTTGAAGGCTTTCTCCATCAAGCACACAAGGGGCTTGAACAAGGCGATCAGCTCGTGGTCTATCAGAACGTGGTTTCTCAATCTAGCCCTCTCAAGACTTGGCTTCTCAATCCTTGGCTCTCTCTCTCAAAATATTTATATTTATATATATTAATTTTTTTTTTTTTTTTTTTTTGAAATTAAACAACTTTTATTGAAATAAGCAAGTGCAAATACAAAGCAAATAATCCAGGATCTAAGATTCAAGAAGCAAGAGCTTCAAGAACACAAAGATGGATTAGGGTTGCTAAAAAGTAAAGACAATAAATTAAAGAGAAACTAAAACAAAATAATCTAAAGCTTGGTGGTTTTTTCGTGGCTTAGCCTTAAATACAAAGAGGATTAGGTTTAGGGTCAAAGGAAAGTCAAGGGGGAAGCAACATTTTTCGGGTTTGACTGTTGACTTCTCAGCTCGATCGAGTTGAGACGGTCGAGCTGGTCTTCAAGATGGCTTCTCCCTTCTTCCTTTGCGTATCCAGTTGAGCTGCGTCCATGTGCCAAGTCCCTCCATGCTCCTCATGTCCCATATGCTCCAGAATGCTCCAAAAGACCTATTTCAAAGGACCAAACATGCATATGTATGCAAATGCAACCTAAAACTAACATGAATGCATAAGAAGAGAAAAGGAACAAGATATGATGCAAATGGAAGCTAAAACTATGCAAAAGATGCATAAAAGATGTGCTAAAACTATGTAAAATGCAAGTACATCAACACCCCCAAACTTGAACTTTGCTTGCCCTCAAGCAAACAAATAGAACAAGAAAGAGATGAGGTTTGAAAACAGCTGATTCAACACTTAAAAACATGTCCTCAAAAGCGATTTGCTAAATGTCCAACTTAGAGATTCTAGAATGCAACAAGGTGAGAGATATTCATTAAGATTTAACCATGCTTATCAACATCAATCCCACTTCACAGTCACTCAAACAATGCATTCAAATCAGCAAATCCCTTTAACATTCATTAAGCAAAAACAGTGAACCAAAAACATGCAAGATCAATCAACTCATTTGGTTTCAAGGGTTTATGGGTTAAGAGACAAAGAGGGTCTCTTTTGTATGGTGGTTTAGTAACAGGGATCTCTCAAGAAAGTGGCTTTGCTTTGGCAGAAGGCTAAGTGTTAGAACCAAAGATGATGCAAGAACAGCAGCTCGAGCCGTCTAATCCTAACTCGATCGAGTTCAACACTTAGAGCTTTTTAGAACAAAATCCTAACTACCCTTTTTGGCATTTCGCCTTTGAAACTGAGGAGCTTTGCTCACTTTTCTTTTAAGAACTTCCTAGGGAGAGGCTTCTTGAGGTAACATCTAGCGGTTTGGGATTTTCTAAACACTTAGGGAACTTTTCTTTCCTTTTTGACACTTGAGGCTTTGCCTTCTTTTCATTCTACTTAGAACCCTTTTTACTTCCTTTTTTAACTTCCCAAACCTTTACTAGACCCTTTTTAACACTGCCAACTCCCTGGACTTAACTAAACTCTTTTTCCTTTGGGTTTTTCCCAATTTTTACCACTTTTCTGGTTTTTACACCCAACTCGATCGAGCTCGAGTTGGCACCCCCAAACTTAGCCTGAAAACAATCCCAAGAGAACTAGACAACTAGAACTACTGCCCCTGCCGGTTTAAACACAACACCTTATGCTAAGCAAAGCCAAGAAAGGTTCTCACATTCGCACAAGAGATAAATGGGGTTTGAAATGAAAAGGCTTAGGTTCAAGGTGTGGTAACTGTCTCAAAGGATAGAGATCAGCTATCTGGACAAGCAAGAGGGATATGAAGTGAAAGAATGTCCAGATATGTATGTGGTAGCCATGAGTTGAAATCAAATGCAAGCATTGGTAATTAAAGATCAAGTTATGGTTCAAATAGATAGGGAAATGCATCAAATCACAGCAATGGTTGAATGAGATGTGCATGCAGTGATATGATCAAGATAAACATGGTTCTTGCTGCTCAATCAATCTCACCCTAATGCACAAAAGAATCTAAAAACAGGGCACTCAAGAAATCGCAAAAGATGGACAAGTTTTCAAAGTCAAATCAACAATGCAAGTGAAAAATGCAATCCTAAACAAGTCTAACAAATATGAATGCAAAAAGATGAAAATATTTTTGGATTTTTTTGAAAATTTTATGATTTTTTTGGTTTTTCTATGCAAAAGATGAATGAAAAACTAAGAACAAAGAAAACAAGGTTAAATCATCTCTTGAACCCTCCCCCAAACTTAAATCACACAGTCCCTTGTGTGAGAAAAATTTAGTGAAAGATTCAAGAGGGCAAAACCAAGAAAAAAAAAACAAATGCAAGAAAATATGAAATGGTATATACAAGGGTTGGTGTTTGGATACCTCAGTGCCCCCAAAGAACTGGGAGGCTAGGTCGTGGTCTGGAGATGGTAGACGGCCATCAGGAGCACTCCACTCACTGTTCTGTGCACTCGATCGAGCTTGCTCTCCTCTTCCTCTTCCTCAAAGTGTGTGGCTTCCTTGGCCTTGGTGGAGCATTGCTAGCTCGTACTGTCCATAGGGGTTCCATCTACTCCGGGGAGGCTCCTGGTAAGGCATGGATCGTATTCAAATCCCGGATCCTCGAACTGGGCTCCTCAAGGCCAACTCGACCGTCAGCTCGATCGAGTTGAGTTTCCTCTGTTTGGACTCGATCGAGTCCGGTGGTCGAGCTGGAGCGTCTGGCCTTAGAAGTCTTCCTCCTTCTCTGCGTGTTGTCTTCTCCTTCCCTTGGCTCGAAAGAAGAGGCTCTGTGAGGCTCTTGGGCAGGGAGCCTCCTTGGAGTGGTGAGAAGGATCTACTCCTAAGGAATGTGGAACTCATGGGCCTTCTTCTTCTTGCTTGAAGAACCAGAAACCTTCTTCTCCAAACTTTTGATCTTGCTCACCATCTTGTCCATGGACTTTTGCATCTTCTCAATGGCTTTCCCTTGCCATTTGTTGAACTTTTGGAGAAGTCCAATCCTCTTGTGGGCAGCCACAACAGAGGGGTTCATCCTTGGAGCCTCATACTCCTCAAATAATAGCACTCAGGCTCACCCAAATCCGCACTTCCTGGACCTGATCTTCAGCTCGATCCTCAGCTCGATCCTCAGCTCGAGACTCAGCTCGATCGAGCTCAGGCTCCTCTTCTCGCAAATCATCCTCATGCCCAACTAATGTGTACACAGGGGGTCTGAAGTCAATGTTCTCACCCCTTACTACTGTGGTGAGCTCTGGGTTAGGCAGGAGAAACTTGGAGGGTCCAACCAATGGATGTGTGAACTTGAATTGGAACCTCCCATCCAACTCCTTGTGCTCAATGAGAAGGTTGGTCTTGCAAAACTTGATGTCCATCCAACCTGGTTCAGTGGCTCTCTATCAGTTGGGTTCACTCCAGCAGCACACAAGATAGGTGTGATGAGCCCTCCAATACTTAGGCGCCTTCCTCGTTGATGTCTAGTGTTGTAGGCCGTGATCTTGTAGGTAAGGAGGTGGTCAAGGAAAGGCATCAAGTTCCCTGTGTCAGATCTATCTCCCCTGATCCTCTTGCCATCGCTTGTGCGTGAGAGAAGGGCTTGATTCCCATGTCAAGAAACTTGAGTTCCCCCTCGTTGATGGTCCCGGTCGCCTTCCTTGCAAAGAAGGTGTTGGCAAGTGCCTTGTGCACATACCTCAAGACTGGGCTCCTGATCTGAGCTGCCTTGGACCTTGAGGAAGAGTACACTCCATCAGCGATTGTAGCCCAAACCCTTTGGAGTTCCTTTTCCTTGAAGTTCCACTTGGTACCCTCTCCATAGTTGAACCCAAACAAGATTTCCAGCTGCCTAAAGGTCACCATTCTCTTCTCTCCCTTAGCCAAGAACGTGATCCATCCCAATCCTTGGTCCAAATCAGCTCTATCTTCCTCTTCATACATGTGGTACCTCATTGAAGCTAAGAACTCGCAAGTGAGCTCCTTGTAGGATTCCATGTGATAAGAGAAGAAGCTTGGCCAAGTGCATGTTCTTGAGAAAGCTCCACATCCTCAAAGATTCCAAGGGCCTTCATTGTGTCAACATGTGGGTACTTGGTGTCCATGAAGTCCATGGAGAAGAGGGCATTGTAATGCTCTTGGTACATAGGGAGTTCTTCCTCCTCCTCTTGCGGCTGCTCTTGTGGCTCAACTCCTCCATAGGTTCATCTTGGTTACTCTTGCTCACTTCTTCAACCAACTGATTCACCTCTTCTCCTTCCTCTTCACTCTCAGTCTCATCACTTCCTTCTTCACTTGGAGAGCCATTTCCCTCCTCTTGAACAAGGTTCACTCCAATCTCAAACTCCCCTTGCTCACTCTCACTACTAATGGGGTCATTCCTCTTCTTGGTCCTCCTTTCCTCCCTCAATCTCTCACTCTCAGACTTCTTCCTCAGAGTACACATATCCTCTGCATCAGACTCTTCCATTCTTTGAGTCATCCTCTCCAAATCGGCTTGCATCTTAAGCCTTCTTTCCCTTGCATTGCTTGATTCACCCTCAACCATTCTCCTTTGTGAAGCACGACTTCCCTCACTGTTTGTCATCTCTGTTACACTGTTTCTTCACTAAAGTACCTGAAATGCATCAAAGATTACAAAGAATTAGAGTTGTAATGATCGGTTTGGTCAACTCGACACTCAGCTCGATCGAGTCAAAAAACTCGAGTGACAAACTCGATCGAGTTGGGTGAAAACAGAGTATAACCAAACCTAATTCAAGTATTAAGAGCTGGAAAGGATGCTAATCAATCAAATTGAACCAAGAACAACTAGTAAATGGAACAATGAGCAATTCTAGTGAAGCACTAAGCATCTTAACCAATACCAAACTCAAATTCAATTTTCAAGCACATGCAACAAGTTTAAAGGCAAAACAGAGGTGAGGTGAAACAAATAACAAGTTATAAACAGGAGAGAAATGAGAGCAATTACTCAAGAACAAGTCCACAAGGGACACATGCAATCAAAAATCAAAGAGAAACAAGCAATAATGGAAATCGAGATGGAGGAATCAAGGGTTTAGGGTTCATACCTTGCTTGAATGATGGAATTGAAGAACAGTAACAAGAACCCAAACAAAACAAGATGAAGAACAAGAAATCGCAAAAACTTAAGAGAGAGAGAGAAATTCGATTTTTCTTGTGGTGAAGAGAGAGAGAGAGATTTCAGAAATTTTAAGTGTGGGAGAGAGAGAGTGGGTTCGATCGAGTTATGGGGAAGAGGGAGTGTTTGAGATGTGTGGTTGAGATTAAAAGATGAAATAAAGAGGGAACAAGAAACTAGGGATTCTCTGATCAATTAGGGTAGTGGGGGACCAAAATCAGCTTGTGGGACCCACTCCCTTGACCAAGAAAACGGTTATGAATTTGAAATTCAAAAACTTACCTCGGTCGAGTTGTGTAGCTCGATCGAGTTGCCCTGGTTTCTAGCTCGATCGAGCTGTCGGTCGAGCTGGCTCCTTGACACCTAAACTTAACTTATTCAAAGGTTAAAACATAAAGATAGATAGAAATTGCATAAATAGAGTATGTACAAGGATAAACATGGGACTTCCTCCCAAGTGAGCTTGTTTAAGGTCCCATAGCTTGACCTTTACCTTCTTAGGCATTGGTTGAGCTAGTCCCACCATCAAGGGTGATAGTGAGGACTTGAGACAGAAGCTCCTTTAGCTTGGTTGGGTCCCTGGACTGTTCTGAAGTCACCAAGGCCTTGGCTCTAGAGAATGGCCTTGATCTCCCCTTGTACCTTATCTTGTACTCAATCTTCCCATTTTCAAACTTGGTGGGGAACAAAGTCATTGTGAGCTGAGATGGCTTGACTGAAGGGGCCTGAGCTGGTGGATCCTTTCTTTTATCCCTGGTCTTGCCTTAGAGGCTGCATCCTCCCCTTCTTTTAGAGCCCTTCCTAGTGGCTCATCAAACAAAGCTTGAAGGCTCTCTTCATCAAGCACACAAGGGGCTTGAACAAGTCTCAGCTCTTGGCCTATCAGATCGTGGTTTCTCAACTCTAGCCCTCTCAAGACGTGGCTTCTCAATCCTTGGTCTCTCTCTCAAAATATTTATATTTATATATATTAATTTTTTTTTTTTTTTTTTTTTATGATTCAAGAAGCAAGAGCTTCAAGAACACAAAGATGGGATTAGAGCTCTCAAAAGTAAAAGACAATAATTAAAAAGAAACTAAAACAAAAGTAATCTAAAGCTTGGTGGTTTTTTCGTGGCTTAGCCTTTAAATACAAAGAGGATTAGGTTTAGGGTCAAAGGAAAGTCAAGGGGGAAGCAACATTTTTCGGGTTTGACTTTGACTTCTCAGCTCGATCGAGTTGAGAGGTCGAGCTGGTCTTCAAGATGGCTTCTCCCTTCTTCCTTTGCGTATCCAGTTGAGCTGCGTCCATGTGCCAAGTCCTCCATGCTCCTCATGTCCCATATGCTCCAGAATGCTCCAAAAGACCTATTTCAAAGGACCAAACATGCATATGTATGCAAATGCAACCTAAAACTACTATGAATGCATAAGAAGAGAAAAGGAACAAGATATGATGCAATGGATGCTAAAACTATGCAAAAGATGCATAAAAGATGTGCTAAAACTATGTAAAATGCAAGTACATCAACACCCCCAAACTTGACCTTTGCTTGCCCTCAAGCAAACAAATAGAACAAGAAAGAGATGAGGTTTGAAAACAAGTTGATTCAACACTTAAAAACATGTCCTCAAAAGCGATTTGCTAAATGTCCAACTTAGAGATTCTAGAATGCAACAAGGTGAGAGATATTCATTAAGATTTAACCATGCTTATCAACATCAATCCCACTTCACAGTCACTCAAACAATGCATTCAAATCAGCAAATCCCTTTAACATTCATTAAGCAAAAACAGTGAACCAAAAACATGCAAGATCAATCAACTCATTTGGTTTCAAGGGTTTATGGGTTAAGAGACAAAGAGGGTCTCTTTTGTATGGTGGTTTAGTAACAGGGATCTCTCAAGAAAGTGGCTTTGCTTTGGCAGAAGGCTAAGTGTTAGAACCAAAGATGATGCAAGAACAGCAGCTCGAGCCGCCTAATCCTAACTCGATCGAGTTCAACACTTAGAGCTTTTTAGAACAAAATCCTAACTACCCTTTTTGGCATTTCGCCTTTGAAACTGAGGAGCTTTGCTCACTTTTCTTTTAAGAACATCCTAGGGAGAGGCTTCTTGAGGTAACATCTAGCGGTTTGGGATTTTCTAAACACTTAGGGAACTTTTCTTTCTTTTTGACACTTGAGGCTTTGCCTTCTTTTCTTTCTACTTAGAACCCTTTTTACTTCCTTTTTTAACTTCCCAAACCTTTACTAGACCCTTTTTAACACTGCCAACTCCCTGGACTTAACTAAACTCTTTTTCCTTTGGATTTTCCCAACTTTTTACCACTTTTCTGGTTTTTACACCCAACTCGATCGAGCTCGAGTTGGCACCCCCAAACTTAGCCTGAAAACAATCCCAAGAGAACTAGACAACTAGAACTACTGCCCCTGCCGGTTTAAACACAACACCTTATGCTAAGCAAAGCCAAGAAAGGTTCTCACAATCGCACAAGAGATAATATGGGGTTTGAAATGAAAAGGCTTAGGTTTAAGGTGTGGTAACTGTCTCAAAGATAGAGATCAGCTATCTGGACAAGCAAGAGGGATATGAAAATGGTAAAGAATGTCCAGATATGTATGTGGTAGCCATGAGTTGAAATCAAATGCAAGCATTGGTAATTAAAGATCAAGTTATGGTTCAAATAGATAGGGAAATGCATCAAATCACAGCAATGGTTGAATGAGATGTGCATGCAGTGATATGATCAAGATAAACATGGTTCTTGCTGCTCAATCAATCTCACCCTAATGCACAAAAGAATCTAAAAACAGGGCACTCAAGAAATCGCAAAAGATGACAAGTTTTCAAAGTCAAATCAACAATGCAAGTGAAAGATGCAATCCTAAACAAGTCTAACAAATATGAATGCAAAAAGATGAAAATATTTTTGGATTTTTTGAAAATTTTATGATTTTTTTGGTTTTTCTATGCAAAAGATAATGAAAAACTAAGAACAAAGAAAACAAGGTTAAATCATCTCTTGAACCCTCCCCCAAACTTAAATCACACAGTCCCTTGTGTGAGAAAATTTAGTGAAAGATTCAAGAGGGCAAAACCAAGAAAAAAAAGCAAAGAAGAAAATATGAAATGGTATATACAAGGGTTGTGTTTGGATACCTCAGTGCCCCCAAAGAACTGGGAGGCTAGGTCGTGGTCTGGAGATGGGCAGACGGCCATCAGGAGGCACTCCACTCAACTGGGTTCGTGCTCACTCGATCGAGCTTGCTCTTCCTCTTCCTCTTCTTCATCAAAGTGGGTGTGGCTTCCTTGGCCTTGGTGGAGCATTGGCTAGCTCGTACTGTCCATAGGGGTTCCATCTACTCCGAGGGAGGCTCCTGGTAAGGCATTGGATCGTATTCAAATCCCGGATTCTCAAACTGGGCTCCTCAAGGTCCAACTCGACCGTCAGCTCGATCGAGTTGAGTTTCCTCTGATTTGGACTCGATCGAGTCCGGTGGTCGAGCTGGAGCGTCTGGCCTTAGAAGTCTTCCTCCTTCTCTGCGTGTTGTCTCTCCTCTCTTGGCTCGAAAGAAGAGGCTCTGTGAGGCTCTTGGGCAGGGAGCCTCCTTGGGTGGTGAGGAGTGATCTACTCCTAGGAATGTGGAACCATGGGCCTTCTTCTTCTTGCTTGATGAACCAGAAACCTTCTTCTCCAAACTTTTGATCTTGCTCACCATCTTGTCCATGGACTTTTGCATCTTCTCAATGGCTTTCCCTTGCCATTTGTTGAACTTTTGGAGAAGTCCAATCCTCTTGTGGGCAGCCACAACAGAGGGGTTCATCCTTGGAGCCTCATACTCCTCAAAGTAGTAGCACTCAGGCTCACCCAAATCCGCACTTCCTGGACCTGATCTTCAGCTCGATCCTCAGCTCGATCCTCAGCTCGAGACTCAGCTCGATCGAGCTCGCTCCTCTTCTCGCAATCATCCTCATGCCCAACTAATGTGTACACAGGGGGTCTGAAGTCAATGTTCTCACCCCTTACTACTGTGGTGAGCTCTGGGTTAGGCAGGAGAAACTTGGAGGGTCCAACCAATGGATGTGTGAACTTGAATTGGAACCTCCCATCCAACTCCTTGTGCTCAATGAGAGGTTGGTCTTGCAAAACTTGATGTCCATCCAACCTGGTTCAGTGGCTCTCTATCAGTTGGGTTTACTCCAGCAGCACACAAGATAGGTGTGATGAGCCCTCCAACACTTAGCTTCTTCCTTTTGATGCCTAGTGTTGTAGGCCGTGATCTTGTAGGTAGGAGATGGTCAAGGAAGGCATCAAGTTCCCTGTGTCAGATCTATCTCCCCTGATCCTCTTGCCATCGCTTGTGCGTGAGAGAAGGGGCTTGATTCCCATGTCAAGAAACTTGAGTTCCCCCTCGTTGATGGTCCCGGTTGCCTTCCTTGCAAAGAAGGTGTTGGCAAGTGCCTTGTGCACATACCTCAAGACTGGGCTCCTGATCTGAGCTGCCTTGACCTTGAGGAAGAGTACACTCCATCAGCGATTGTAGCCCAAACCCTTTGGAGTTCCTTTTCCTTGAAGTTCCACTTGGTCCCTCTCCATAGTTGAACCCAAATAAGATTTCCAGCTGCCTAAAGGTCACCATTCTCTTCTCTCCCTTAGCCAAGAACGTGATCCATCCCAATCCTTGGTCCAAATCAGCTCTATCTTCCTCTCATACATGTGGTACCTCATTGAAGCTAAGAACTCGCAAGTGAGCTCCTTGTAGGATTCCATGTGGTAAGAGAAAAGCTTGGCCAAGTGCATGTTCTTGAGAATTAGCTCCACATCCTCAAAGATTCCAAGGGCCTTCATCGTGTCAACATGAGGGTACTTGGTGTCCATGAAGTCCATGGAGAA